CAGCAGGCTCTCTCCGAAAATGCCTGTCACCTATGTGAATTTGACATAATTTCCATCAAAGCCACAGGGCATCTCTCCACTGACTTCAGTGGAATCAAGGCCCATATGTTGAATAAGCAATAAATTATTTTCCCTTAGGAGAAAGTTTTTCATGTCTGTAATTAATTTTAATTACTAGAAGAGGGAAGGGACTAAGCACAGGGAAAGTTGAAAGAAAAGCCAGGATCATGCAGGTGCAATGAGGAAGGCAATCCTGCAAGACATCTTTGTGATGAAGAAAGAGATTGAGAGGATAGTTACTTGTAAAAGGAGATCAGTTCCTGTCACACCTTCCACCTCACACCCAAAACCTCTGAAAACACACACACACCACCCACCCCCTGCCCCAGCCAGCAGCCTCTTTGATACAACAGTGTGGGTATCTCTCTTCCTTTCATCTTCTGAAAGATGGTTCTGTTCTAGTTAACATCTCAACCTGTACCAGGGATTCCCTGCATCTCACAGACATCTCAGGAGCCGTTTCTTTGTCTAAATTTTCTTCCAGTGTTAACACAACTTTTTAGATACATCACCTTAATGCTTTTTTGTAGGCTTTCAAGTCACTCTTTCCTTTTAGATGCCTGCTAATTCAACCATAAATGTATGGCTACAAATATCACCGCTTTTTGCACTTCTATCTGGCTTCATTCACAATGCAAATACAAAACTTCAAAGTGGAGCAGAAATCCTTTTGCTTCATGATAGCCCAATTCCTTTCCACATTTCTTTTCAAGCATGCAATGACGGGATTAGCTGAGGATTAATTACTTGAAACTCAACTTGTAACTCAGGTCATAATTTTCTCATATTTTCAGCCTTTAAAATGTTTGTATCGATCAGATATTTGTCATACAGACCAGTACTTGCAACAGATAAAATATTCCTCTTTCCACACAGACATCCTAGCTAGGGGTCTCAAAACTCAAACAAAAATTCCACTTACTGTGCAAACTCCAATCCTCCCACTCCAAGTTGCAATGCATTCCAAAAATGTCACCTTTAAAGGCACAAAACCAGAACATTCAAAAAAGCAGTTTTCTCTGCCTTCTCTATTTGTCCCTTAAAGGCAACTGCCCTTCTGATAAAATATACTTACTCACTGGAAGGTAACCTATAAAGTCAATGTGATTTGATTTTTTAATAAAATTTTTCCATATGAATAGTCATGGCCTGTATAAAAATACATCTGTGCCTAAATATTGACTTGGGACTGACTGTAAATTTTGGTTAGCAGCACAGCAGGACTAGCCTAGTCTCGACGTTTCATAGTAGCCAGTCATTTGAAGGGTGTCTTTTTCAGTATAAAGGGCGATCTGAATAATCAGAGCATGTAAGATCAGTGCTCAAGGTACCCTGCCACCACTGTCCTAGTAGAAACACATTATTCACCATGGTAACTACAAATGGTGCAAAGTAAAGATGTTTACAATTTGACTTAAATCAGAAAGGCAAAGAATAAAAATGCCTCCAAGTCCTTTTTTTTTGGTGACTTTTGACCTCAAATCAACAGGAAACATTCAGGTTCATGGGCTAGGTAAAAGAGTTTTCTATTTATTTATTCCTTTATTTTGTTTATAGATATTTCTTTGTATGGTTTGTTCCTGTTGTAGCAACAAAACAAAACCAAAAAACCTCCTCTGCCATTAAATCTTGCTTTTGACAAAACTTAATCTTGGGCCAAGTAAGACCTGCCAGTATTCCTCTGAAAATATTTTTAAGCGATTCTCTGCAAACAGATTAGGCTATCTATAACAAACTAGTGGTTAAAAATGATCATTACTATCATTTTATACTGAACCTAGTCTGGTCTGCATCCTATAAAAGGAGCAAAACCAACCGCATCACCTGCAGGGCACATCTTAGTCACTATTCTGAGAATTTAAAAAGTCAACAGCAGCAGGGAAGAACAAAAAAAAAACCAAAGGCAAAGTGAGTTGGACACAGAAAAGTAAATTATACAGTAAAGACATCAAGAGAAAGAAAGTATTAAAAGCAAATGTTCGAGCATGTTCAAACAAAATGCAGCTACTGTGTTAGGCACTGTATAAAATCAAGTTATGCTAAATTCCCAGTGTCCCACTTGTGAGCTCACCATTAAAATGAAAAACCACTGAGGAAGGTGTATGCTTCCTCACGGAAATGTTTTTGAATTAAAAAAAAAAACCCTAAACACACAGTGGTGTTGAGGCAAGGATGAAGGGCAAAAGGTTCCACGAGAGACATTTCTGGTTGCATGAGGGATGTGGGTCACTGGTAGCATGTACATTTTTGCACTTTCTCAAAAGGAAAATATGATCTTGACACCACATAGAAGGCAGCCTCTGTGCTGAAATTTTATTGAACATGAAAGACACACTTGCAAAAATCTTGTCTGTAAGAATACAGCAGTTCAAAACTCATAAAATACAGATAGCACTTATATGCTCAAAATTATATACCTTTTCCTCAACCTATCTTAGGCCCCTTACATGAATTACCTCAATAACAAATTTCCTACAAGCAGACACAGAAGAGCTAAGTGCTGCTTTTTGGGTTTTGTTTTGATAGCAGTGTTATGCAGTCAGCTTACCAGCTGTGACTGCCTATGGATCACATACCCAACACATGCAGTTTGGAAGCAGATCACCAGGACTCTCATCTTCACGTCAGCCTGCTAGTCCTTTCTCTACCCAGGTCAGGGAGCAGCCATCAAGCACAGACAGTAAAAAGTAAAGTTCTCCTTTCCTCTTTACAAAGATTAGCAAATAGATTTTTTCTTACCTCATTTTAAAGAACAGAGCTATCTGACAAGTCACAAGCTATCTGCCTGTGCAATAGGTGGGGACAGGAATGCTGAGCTGCACTACAACTTTGCAGATTTCTCCACAAGAAAACCAATTTGCCTATCCAGAAGATAAAGCCAACACAAACTACTGCATCTACCACAGCTGCCAAACTCCTTCCATGCCACCAGCACCTGACACCCACCACAAAAACACTGGGCTCCCCCCACCTGAATGCATCCTCAGGCTTGCTTGCTTTGGCACCACCTCCCTGGCCTAATTTTCCTCCAGCTTCCCATCTTAGCTTTCCCCCTCCCCTCCAATAGGCCTCATGGACACTGTTGCCACAGGGGAGCTGCTGGAAACTCCCAGTTTAGAAAGAGAATGCTCATGCCATCTGAAAGCAGATGCCCCAAAGCCAGACAAAGCTTGTTGTGGGGTGGTCCTCCAGCAACAAGTCTCTCTCAACACTAAGATGATGATTATAAAAGAGCTCAGTATTATCACTGCCAGAGCACACCAACTGGAATGTGATTATTGCCACCTCCGTAGTATCACCAAAAATCCTGTATCTGTGGCGAGGATTTAGTCCTGCTATGACCACAGTTGCTTGTTCTTCTTGTGGGGACTGCAGCACAGGCTTAGTAAAAGGATGGTGTCTCCTTCCAAGCCTGGTGGTCGTAAGGGAGACAAGTTTTACCAGAATAATTCATGGTTGAGTGCATTTTCCTGTTTTCATTAAGGGTTTACACCAGTGCTGCTACCTTGGAAGTCTGCCACCAGTAAGCAGGTCAAACCTCTTAGTCTGGGAAAAGCCTCTCCATTGTTTTCTGTCTCATGAACAGTTCTTCAGTAACTATGTCTTTTTTTTGGAGACCAGGGTGTTGGAAAACAATTGAGATATGAATAAAGAGTTATCCTTCACCACAAAGTAAACTGTATGCTTAATAAGATGAAATAATTTGGTCTCTGTGGACCAGAAAACAATAGCCTCACTGTTGCACTGATACCTTGCAAGTTATGTCCTCGTGTCACCCAAAGCAAACTGTAATAGGGACTGTCCCACAGCTCAGATTCCCTCTAAACCTCTTAGCTAACCTCTTTTACCTCTTCAGGTTTCCCTCTTTAGCACAGACATGAATCAGTCATTTCAGGAAACCTCATTTTCTTAAAAAAAAAAAGGAAAAAAAAGCCAACTTTTATAAGGCTATACTCAAAACCCCTATGTTTCTTATAAAAATCCCTAGTTTTTATTCTTTATGCCAGGAGCTGAGATGCATAATAAAGCAAATAATATCAACAACTTAAAAGGGTGCAACAGCAAATAGACCTTTGTCCTCTCCCTCTAAAGCAGGATGAGAATCTACTAATTACTTTATTACAGTGTGGGTGGAAGAATGAGGGAACTTCAAATCAGCATAGCATTCAATGCAGGATTTCCTTTATAGTGGAGAATGAAAAATAACCCCAGACCTAGAATAAATCTCCCTACCCAATTCCTCCTTTTGTTTACACCACGTCTGAGGTTACTTACACAGTGGCACAATGCTAGAGATTCCATACACATTCCACACCTTAGGGCATGTGCCCACCTTTAGTTGTCTATCTGTGAGGAGAATGATTCCTAGAGGCAAGCTATTACATAATGCTCAGGATGAGCAGTTTCTCACATCCTCCTTTGATCTGTTAAATAAAAGCCACCACAAGGAAAAAAAAAAAAAAAAAAAAGCTAAGCACTGCATTATTTTATATTCCTGCCACAGTTCTACACTTATTGTCTCTCATTTTTAGAGATCTTTTTTTATCATTACTGATACAGACAAACAGCCATCAGAAGCAGACAAACAAACCACATAAGGCACAATGAAATATTCAACACATATGTTCCCCTTCAAGACAAGACAATAATAACAGAACAACTGAAACCTGAGCCTCTTTCCAGCTACACTAAGTTATGCCACTGAAGTCAAATGGGTATTAACCGGTTTATTTACCTTCTGATACTCAAAGACAGAGATTATTCCATTTCTGAAGAATCTACCAGCACCACTATGTAACAGCAACAGCTAGGGATTAGCAAAATAATAAAGAAGAATACAGTTCAGACATCAGAGAAAGGAAGATTCCTCCACGGAGAGGCCCTTCTGTGAGGAACAACCTCAGGGACTACAACCTACTGTGAGCACAGAGCACTCTTACCTGTGTGACTGAGCATGTGCCGCTGCAGGGCATTTCCCCATGGAAAGACTTGAGGACAGTAAGGACAGGGGATATTTTGCAGGCAGTCTGAGTAAGCGTTCCTCTTCCCTGTCAGCAGCTTATCCTTGGCAGTTTCCTTCTCATCCTCACTTGTTCCATTTCTGCCACTTTCTTCCTTGAAATTGTCAGTGGACTGCAGAAATGGGCTAAATTTGTTAGTGTCTGTGGTAGCCAGCATCTTCTCTATGCTGGCAAATTCCCCACTTGACTCCAGATCCACACTACTCCTAAGTTTAGGCTTATTTTTCGTTCCTTTCTTTCTCCCTCTTTTCTTAGTCAACCCAGCATCAGCAATGGGAGACTGCTCTGGATCACAAGCCTGAGACAGGTCACTGGGCAGGCTGGAGTCCCTCTGAACGGTGGTCACGATTGTCACTTTAGCTTTGGCATTCCCTGATTTGTCACACCCAGTAGAGCTGCTCACTGCCTTGGGACTGGCGTCTGTGGCCTCTGTTTTCAGCAAAGTGGGAGCAGAAGACACAGACGAAATGATCTGTGCAATGGAAGCCAATGGCGGCAGCTCTTTAGTTACTGAAGGCTTTGGCAAGAGAGGTGGTGGTGGTGGTTTAGGCCTCAGGGGTCTCAGCAAGGCAGAATTGCCAGGGAGAGCCGGGGAAATGATCGGGACAGTCAAATGCAACGAACCTTTCAGTGGCTGGGGATGTCTGACACCCCGGTTTGTTTCTGAGTTCCCATTGGCACCAAAAACCAAAGGACACTGCAGACAGTTATAGGCTTTATCACTGTTTGCAGAAGCAGCCAACTCTTGGTTCCTGGCTTCACAGGGGGCATCATCTTTATCCTTCTTCAGGATTTTGGGGATGGACAGGTCGATAGGCTCCATGGAACAGTCGTAAAGGGACAGAGACGAACCAAACAGGTTCTCCTGCTTCACCTGCACAGCACTCAGGCTTTTGCTCTTCTGAGAGAAATCCAACGGCTCATCAAAATCCATGGGGAAGTTGCCCACAGGTTCACGTTTGATGGAAATGTGAGACGATGTTCCCAGCAAGAAGCCGTTTTGTGGCTCCAGGAAAGGCGTCATGGGCTTGTGGTCCATGTAAGTGCTGTCCTCCAATAAAGAAGCGTCTGTCTGGCTTTCCTGGGCACTGCAGTCCACCATTAAGATGTAATTCTCAATCTCCTTTTCTTGCACATGCAAGTGCTGCTTGAGGATGTGGTGAATGCAATTCCTCTTGGCCGAAAAGGCCGTGCCACACTCCTTGCACTCAAATGGCTTCTTCTTCTGGCAGCCGCTGTGCGTCCTCATGTGAATGCGGAGGGCCCGGTAGTGCTTCAGGTCCTCTCCACACAGCTTGCACACCGTGTCTGGGGAGCAGAAGGCATCCACCATCTCTGCGGCATTGCTGGTGACATATTCGATGTTCTTCTCGATATCCTTCCTGGTTGTTTTGAGGTGCTTCTTTCGCAGGTGCCTCTCACAATTGGCTTTCACTGTGAACGGGTAGTGGCAGATCTTGCAGATGTAAGGCCTCTCCCCGCTGTGCGTCCGCAGGTGCCGGATCAGCGCTGCCTTGTCAGCCGCGATGTAGTCACAGATGTTGCACTGATATGGGGAAATACCTAAGTGAGAACGGATGTGAGCTCTCAGGACACCAGAGAAGGCAAACACCTGATCACAGAAACGGCAGGGGTACAAAACTTTCCTCATGGTCGGGGTCTTTTTGTTCGCTGCCCCTGCGATGATGGCTTTCAGGTCTCCTTCTGTGACTTCTTGCTTGATCTTGGCTTCCATACTTAGAGGCAGGAGAGCTTCAATGATGCTGTCCTGCTCCAGCTGTGTCTTCATCTCATGCTGAGTTAAAGGCTCTATTTTGGGTTGGAGGAGCAATTGTGAGGAAGAACTTGATTTGGCTCCTGGCTGGGGGAGATGGGAGTTGGAGGCGGACTCCACTGAGTTCTTGATCAGCCTCAGAGGGGGAGGTGGGAGACTTGGGCTGATGCAGCCAGGGGAGGCTTGCTGGGCACTGATAAGAGGAGGAGGAGTAGAGGTTGCGACAACTGTTCGGGGTGTTACCAAAGGCTTTGGCTTCAGTGGTGGCATATGCTTAAAAATCGACTGCACAGGGACAGAAGGTGCCTTAGAAAGTGGAGGAAGACTGATTTGAGGAGGAGCAGAAGAAGCCATCTTCAAGATCTGTTGAATGTCTGCCAGCTCAATGGCAGACTCATTGGAGATGGGTTTCACCACAATACTGCTGTCAGGCTGGATAATAAAACCCTTCTGGAAAGGCTGCAGCGAGAGAAGCTTTATGTTTTCTTTTGTAGGGGGAAGGACTGAAAATGACCCTCCCATGGAGGCAGCTTCCAGAGGAGAGAGGCTGAGCAGACTGGTGCTGCCAGGTTCCTGAGGTAGGTTACTCTTCAGTGCTCTGAGCCGCATTTCTTGGACCTCGTCTTGTGTATTGTCCTCCTGCTTGACAGGCTTGATGTCTTTGGTGTACTGTAGGCCCAAGGATGCCATGAAGGCTTTCTGGTCTGGGTTCTCACTGGGTGGGGTCATGGACTGTGGCTTGTGCTTGTCTTTTCCCTGATCCACCATGTGAGTTTCTGTGTGCAGTTTGAGTGCCGAAAGCATGGGGAATGCCTTGTTACACATCTCGCAAATAAATCGATGGAAGTCACTGATGCACCTTCGCAAATTTGTCTCACACCAGACCTGCAAGACATGCAAAATTTTTTAGAGCAGGAATCTCAAACTGGAAAGGCATCACACACTGCTGCAGAACAAAAACAGTTCACTCTCTCTTCCACTGATTAAGAGGTTTAGAGCAGCCCCCACCTAAATGGCATGGAGATATTCCCACTTCATAGCCTTTAGTCTCCTAAGGGATATATCTGAATTAGGGGCTGATTCTCCCCAAGCTCCCTTCTATAAAGGTAATCTCCTTCAGAAGGCTACTCAGGCTCTAAAATTCTTTTCCATCCTAAACTTTCCTATCAGAAACTTCTCTTGTGTCACTGACAGGACAGGAGCCTCAGCATACTACACAGCAAGGAAGCCAAGAGGCAAAGAAACCAGGAGGAGAGGAAGAAAAAAAAAAAAAAAAAAAAAGCAGCATCCAAGAAGCCAAACCAATACAAACCAACCAAAATAAAATCCCCCAAAAGCAGATCAATGAAACTCAGAGGCTAAAGCAGTATGGTTTTTGGTTAGGGAAGTCTGATTACATTTTATTCTCCCCAGAAAAATACTAGTATAGGGCTGGCAAGACCTTTACAGACTCTAAATACTTTTTGAGTCTTCTCTCACAGTGCAAGCAAAATTATTACAAAAGGAAAACACCAACATTCAAATCCCTTCATACTTTAAATGTCTATCATTAATTACAAAAGAAAAAAACTTTGTTTAAAAAGTTCTTTCTTTTGATTTTTTAAGTTTTATACCAAAACTGTAACAGACTGACAGAAAGACCTGCATGCTCCACTGGTCCAGCAGCAAATTTCAAGTCTACCACTTTTCAGACAGAAGAGTTGGTAATAAATAATGAAAAAAAAATAAGAAATATGAAAAATGCAGAAACTAAGCATGGTCCTGGCGGATTGTGCTGTTGATTTTTTTAAGAGATATGCAGTTTCACCCAGACCCAAAGTAAAGCAGACAAGGTTTGACAGAGGGAGGAGCCATACCACTCAATAGAAAGCTTTATGGCTCTCAGAAAAATATTTACAGACCACCTCCCTGACTTTCCCCATCCACTGTCCCTCAAAGGTGCAGAACTCTCAAACCTTACATGAAGAACACTGTGGAGTGTCTTGTGATGGAATCACTGAAGATGTCACTGTTTAGTTAGTAACACGACTGCTCAAAGTTTTTTGTAATAAAAACCTTCATACCCCAACTACATCCTTGTTAGTGTAAGCTAAAATAAATAGTATCTTCCTTACCATGTGTACACCCTGCTGATTTCAGATGTAGGATTTTTTGGGTATGCTCAAAGGGGCAATGATCTAATAATGACCAAAGTTTCCCTTCAAAATTTTTTTATATATCTATATGTATATATATATATATGTACATATATATATATATGTATAAATGTATATTTATACATTTTTTAATATATTTTATAACACTGATAGTTATCCACTGCAATGGTGAAAAAGCCCCCAGTGCCAATATTCTTTAGATGAAAAAAGAAAAAGGAGAGGCATAAAGTGTCTGAAGCCTACACGAACAGTGGTGATGTACTTTCCACAAAATATTCTACATGCAGGATGAATCTTTCAATGACCTCATCAAATAATCACTGTAGCAGCTTAAGCTACGAAGAACAGAGAGTACCTGAGAAATGCGGGGGAACTTCCTACAGGAGAAGTCCGTGAATCCCAAGTCGTGGAAGCCTGCTGGAATTGAAGGGTTGTTCTGAATGAAAGGCTTTCCCATGGGATCTCTGGGAAGTTGCTTGTGGATAACTGCATTATGGCGCAGTAAGCCCCGATGAGTACGAAAGGTAATACAACAGATGTCACACCTGGAAAGGAAAGGAATAAAACAGAAATGAGTTACTGACTGCTGCAAGTTTAAGAACTAGCATTCTTCTTGCACCAGGATGTCCTCTTTCCTCTCACCCCATTATACCGAGAACTTGCTAAATGCAGAATAAAGCCACAGTATGTCAAAATCTATCACCACAAAAGGCCATCTTAGTCACAGTCACTTTCTACCAGTTTCTGGCTAATAAGTCCACTGGAAGCTTAAAGAACATGAGAACTGACAGTCTCACACAGGCAGAGAGAACAGCTGCTGAGGTAACAGCCTTGTGAAAACCTTTTCATTGTCCAATGAAAAATACTTCAATGGCCTTACGCCATTTCATTTTTACTGAAAAGTACTGTAAAAATAAACAACATTTTTAAAAAAATCAGTGACAAGGAGAGGCTACATCTGACCTAAGTGGCAAGCAAATGTAAAAATAGCACCTTTCATAGTCACTGCTTAAAACATACTACTGCATGCCACTCAAATACCTGTGTGTGTATCTTCCTCACACTGCCTTTCCATAAACTTTCACTGGTATTTTTCAAAGCTGTTATGAGAAATAGACTGTTTTAAAAAGAAAACTACTGCTCGTTGAAGGGGAGGAAGGTTCAGAGGAGGAAGACCTGAAACAGGTTCAACACCTCTGACACTTTTATACCCCCTTCACCGCCAGTTTGCCCTGAAAAAAAAAGCAGAAGCACTGTCTTTTCCTACCTACACTTTATTGCTGTGATTTCTTGTTTTTCTTAAGTTTTCAAATCCCAAATTCAGCTAAACAAGGGCTTCTCACATAAAACATTGCATTAAATAATCAAAGCTATGCTGTAGGCAGAAAGGGCTATGCAGCAACATTTGGCCAACACGTCAACAAAGCCTACTGCCTTTTAAATATTTGGAATGTGAGCTCTGCAGCATGACAGGTCATGTCCACTCTGTATTCAATAAATGACACACAGTTTCACTCAACCTCAAGCTCCTTGTGGTTCCAGATCCAGCTCCCAGCCAAAGCACGGGTTTCCCAGAAGCAAAACACCAGTGGATAGGAGACAGTCAGATTTTGTAAGAATACTAAATGCACTAGGAGTTTTTCACATCTGCCCCTGGCCTTGGTTTTCCCCATACTGTCTTTGCTCTCTACATCAAGGAAAAGGACATGTGCCTACTCATTAGAAAAACATCCTGCAATTAGAAATGACTTCTGACAAAATCCTGAAACCACCCCCTCCCTGTCCTGTCCCTAACAAACTCCCATTGTTGTTCATTTTATCACTACATAAACTCCCACAGCCACTTTTTTATTCTCTGAAAACGAAGAGATAACCAAGTCACCCACAAAGCAACTGGACTCATAGTCCCTGAGTGGTGAAAGAGGCAAGTGTGAAGTGTATACAACATGGCCATTATTATCACAGTACTGAGAAAGCTTGGACATAAATATGTGCTGAAGGTTTAATCTGTTTTAACTCTCCTGTCAATTCACTTGCATCCTACCTGTATAATTACTGCTGACATAGTTCCTGCATTCCATTAAACACTGAACCAATGCCATTTACAAAGCTAATGTTTACTTAAAGAGGTATGCCAAATGTGACAGCAATCTCTGGGGGGGGAAGACCAACACACTGTACTTCTCTAGCATCAGGATCTACAGCTCTCTTCCAGCTCACTTGGCAGCACCTATTCTGTGATGCAAAGCTTTCATCTTCAGTGAAAACAAAAATACAACCACCAAAACCACTGGGGGATGGAGAGCATTAAAAAAATATGAGTAGTCACCTGAAGAACTTGCAGGCTACTGAAATAAAGTGCTTTAAGAGGTAATGAAAAGGCCTTGCATGAAAACAAGCAGTGCTTCTCACATGTTCCTCCTGGTATGTCAATACACAAGGAGGGCTTGGAAACAATTCTCCTGCACTGCTGGAAGCATTGCAGGCTGTTCTGCAACGGGACACAGACCCTGACCTCGGGGCATGCTGAAGCATCTCTGGGGTCCCAATGCACCTGGCCTGGGCCCAGGAACCCAGTGCAGAAGCTGCATCCCCTTGTGTGTGACAGGGCAGGCACAGCTACCAGTGATGGGACCACAGAGTTACTCAGAGCACTGACTCCTGCCACTGTACCCCCAAGATCTCCAAGCAGGAGCCAGTGCTCCTTGTCAAGCGGCCACACATCCCACACAGCAGGGAGGTGTGCCTTGTTCATCTTGCACTCCCCCTCACCTGCCTCCTGCAACATGCTGACTTTTCAACACTACTTTATTTAGGTCTCCCATCAAAAGCTGCACTTGAGAGTTAATCTTTCAGAACAAACACCCATGTGAAAGTCCTTCACAATACACCTGTACCAACTGCTAGCCTCAGGACAATACAAATTTGCAAGTTAAAAATAGTGTTTTCCATGCAAAGGGAACTACCTCCCCTCCCCCAAACAAAAGTAATTTATCTTATAAAAGGAATATAAGCTTTCTCTCTTATTAGGCATATTTATTTTTCTCTTTCTTCCTTAGTCTTTTATTTTCCTTGATGCGAGTGAAGAAGCAGTAAACAAAAAGAGAAACTGGGAGAAAGATAAAGCTCTTTTTTCACTAGGTCAGAAAGAAGCATCTGGCTGAAAAAAAAATAATAAAAAAATCCAGATAAATCATGTCTCAAGTTGCAGGCTCTTCAGGGCATATAAATGCACTGCACCCCAGCTCAGCTCCTTGCCCTGGTGGCACAGGTATGGACTCCTAGCACCTCCAATAAAAGCTTACAGGTACTAAGTGTCAAAATCTAACTAGTTAAGGCAAGCATCACACTGCATTGACTAAGTCTTGTGTTAATTTAAAATGGAGTAAGTGGCCATGCCTAACAGTGCATTATCTGGAAGCATTAGTTTTTTTAAGGAAGTCTAACTACTAGTTTTTCTCTGTTTTGTCATCAGTACAATTTTCTATCTTCGGGCAGTGTCACTGCCTACAGTATTTTAAAATCTAGACCCACAGTCTAATAAGGAAAAGAGAAAGGAATCCTAGGTGATATGTTTTTTCATCTTGTTTGAACTTCTTAAAAATAAATAAATAAATTAGTAATTAGTAATTAGTAAATTAGTCTGAAAAGCCCAGCATATCAAATAAAGCATCTGAAACATATGGTAATAGTTTGTTCATGATGAACTTAAAAAAACCCAAGCAAACAAACAAAAAAAACAACCAGAAAAGCCTCCCTCTCCTTAAAATGTCACAAGTCCGCTGATGTTTGGTTCCAAGTCAAATAAGGATGGCATGGCTGCAGAAAACAGTGATGTGAACAGGTTTTGAGGTTGTTAGCAGAACAGGCCAAGCAATGGCTCAACATCCGTGCATAGGTAAAAGCACTCTACTTGCAAGGTAAGTTTCCAGATGTATCTAATAAAAGCTGCTGTGTTTTCATGTGACTGCTGGTCTTGGCCACAGTCTTCAATTTTTCTATAAATATGATTACAGAGTTGGGAGAAAAAAGCTGTTCAGTCCCAAGCATAGAGATTCAGTTTTAAGTAAAAAGGGAAAAACTGGTTTTAGCAGTTAAGACCCCTTTACAATTACTTTAATTCTCAAATGCCTTTATATTTTGGACTTGCTCATATGTATAACAATGCAAATATAATACTAAGGCTCTGGCTCAGTGGAAAAAGTGTGAAAAACAAGCAGGTAAGGAAACAGAACAACTAAAAGCAGAACCAAAACATAACAATGCAACAACCAAGCTGCCTTTGGTGCTCAGAGCATGTATCACACCAAGCAGATCTGATTAATTATTACTACACCAGTGCACCTTTTTCTTTCTTTTTTAAAAATTTTCTTAATGCAAAAAAGTGTCTGCATCTCTGTGTAAAAACACATCATTGAAAAGCTTTCTCCTAAAAGAAGTTATCAAGTTTCACGTATTCGAGAAATCTGTAATGCTAATTAGGATATAAAAGCACTTAAACAGGCTTTAAGAAAAAGTGCTTTGCAAAGTTTGCTCCTTTCAAGATGGCAAGGCAGGATTTGCTACACTTTTAATAAAGGGCACCTCTGCAAGAAAAGTTTACATAAGCAGTGCCTGTTGCCTCGCATTACACTCTCCTCTGAGACAACTCCAATTTGTCAGCAGAGGAAATAGCTGTTCTTCTTTAAGAATGGAAAGACATTTTAGAAAGGAAATGCAGAGCCAAATTTTTAGCAAAATTAATCAGTCTTGATTTTGATTAAGACTAATGCAGGCAACCACCCAATCCTTCTAGATTTTATATTTCAGTAGTCAAGATGAAAATGCCAAATATTTATATTTACCATTATGTTACCAAGAAATAAACAGACACTATGCTCTGCATTATCCAAGACTGCTGGTGAGAAAGTGACATTCACCATTATCCTGCTTGTACTTCTGAAACCACACAGACTAAAACCTGAAGTTTTCACCCATGCAGCTCACTAATACAAAGCTGCCCATATCGTGGATGTTAACAAATAAAAACAGCCTTAATTTCTAGGCCTCATTGAAAATAAAAAGCTTGGTACCACTTTGCTCCTTTTCCTGTCCTCTTTAGCAACTTCCACAAACATAAGCAAGGGAAAAAAAAAAAAAAAAGGATGAAACATATCTTGAGACAGAAGTCATTAATACACAATTAAGTTATGAAGTTGTCTAACTCCTCCTACTGAAATCCCCAGTGTGTGTTTTTCTACCTCTGTTGTAATTATTCTCTTTTCTCTCTAACGTTATTTGCAGAATTAATGTGGCTCTCATGAGCAAAGAAATTCCTACGCTGACCTAAAAATAATACATCTGGGTAGAAGATGGGTGATTCCCTGCTGATGACTCATGTCCACACCAGTGGTGGGAGCAGGCTCCCAGCCTCCACACTGGCAGGGTCCAGCTGCAGGGGAGCCTGACAAGGAGGGGAAGATGGAGAAAGGACGCTTTTAAACACAAGGACTTTCACCACCTGTGAAAGAAAATCTAGCAGGTTACAGATATATTCCCCTTTAGG